GCGGTACATGTATCCCGTTACTCCCCAACACTGAGTATAACATTACACTCTTTGTAAGGATTTTTTCCATGCACTTGTTGGCCAACAACCACACGAGCTGCTTCTTTTTGCTCTTCATGGGCCCAATCAGGCAACATATTCTTATTACTGTTAATAAAGTGCGACAGCACTCCTACAAACATTAGTGCTCATTTTTCTCACAGTTCTTGCCACACTTTGGGACTTTCCTAAACACCCAAACTGAAGTTGTGCGTGAAGCTGTTATCATGATCAATATTCTATATGTAGCAAAATAACACCTATGGTGAAAAAGGAACTCACTACAACCAACAGCACAACTACAAACAAGACAAAACACACAAACCACAGAGCTGTTTGCAGAGTCGAGTCTCTAAGAAGATATTCACAGATACTTCTCTAGCCTCTCGTTTAAGAAAGTATCGCAAGGGCCAGTAAAGTAATGTCTGGACAGACGTGTGAGAAGAAACTGCAACTAAAATGTGCAGTAATGTGATTGAAATGAGATCCTCTTTGATTCCACATTAGGATCAATGATACTGTGAGATGGAGAAACAAGTTCAAACTGTGATCTGCTCTGGAAGCAAAAGCAAAGCTCACATCGTGAAATTGTACGTTTATGACACAAAATCCCAGTAATGGCCTGTGTAGCCTCTGATTGATGAGACTGCAGCTCAGTTATTTGAGCCAACTGTTGCAGCAGCAGCTGCCCCAACTATAGATAGGTTGACATTTTTATCACGACCCTGCCAGTTCAACCGAACATTATTGTTGCTGACCGTCATTTCATTGCTGAAAGAGAGAGAGGCCCTATGAGGTTCAGGAAATGCAGCTGTGACGGAGCATCACTCACCCTCACAGGGCTCTGAGGTGCAGTTGAACTTTCCACCTTGGCACAAGCTGGAAGGAGCGCAAAAAAGTCAAGTGAGTAAAATTAGATGAAAGAAAAGTCGAAGTCACACACAGTTGCCCACCAGACTACTGTAAGGGTACGTATTATACATATAATCTTCTATTTCATCCTTTTTTAATATAATTACACATTCACAGCAGTTCAGAGCTGGAACACACAAGAAGCTTCACATTAACTTATTAAAAAGCGGTTCAATACAGGACGTTGTGTCAAAGCACAGAGAAAGATGAAAGCTGCTACTACAGCCTCTGTTTTCTTTTAGTTAAAACAAAAATAGACAGTTTGATCAAATCGACCTGACTCGGGCAGAAATGATGTTCATGAACAAGCTACCAGTCATTTCATTGACTTTATTTATGCTACGTCTCTTTATTCTGAAGAAATACTGAAGAAAATGTAGCAAATGTAACGTTAATTGCTACAATTAAATGTCTTGGATCAAAATGAAACACAACAATGAATAAAATATACATTTCTTTGGGTTGGAATTAGGGTATCGTCACTGATTTCTAGAATCGATTCAATTCTGATTCACAAGGTCCCGAATCGATTTAATCCAGGATTCGATTCAATTTGAATCTGGGAAATTTTGACAGTCAGAAATATTATAATTCAGATCAGTACATTTACATATTTTTGTATCTATAAAAAGGAAGCTGACACTTTCAAGACTTTATCAAAGGTGTGAGCGTCACAGCAGAGGCCTTTGTGTCAAAGTAGCTGAAGATAAAACACAGAAACACATGAAGGTGATTTTCCTGGCATCGGATTTTATCGAAAATATTCTGCAGTAGATCAAAAACGAAAGAAAAAATCAACACATGAACATCACCTCTGAAGTTACAGCGGTTTTATTAGAGACACGGCTGAGCGTTTTGCATTTTGTATAATTTTAAAAAGTTTACATTTGTTCAGTAGCTCCCTCAGCTTGGAACAAACTGCAGAAGGAAAATGACTGAATTTATTTCATTAAGTGCTTTTAAATCTAAACTACTTGATGCCAAGTCCATAACATGCAACAATTAGATTGATTGTCATTTTAACTGATTTTTTTATTTATTTATTTATTTTTATTTGAATTTTATTGAATTTTATTTT